TTTCATGTCTCTGATGGATAAGAATAGTGAATGCTTTTCCAAGTATCCATGGAGCATTTGTATTTCTTCACTTCAGAAGTTTCTATACAATGCATTGTCCCTTCTTGGTTGATTCTTGGTTGGACAATTTGGGGTTAGTGGTGTTTAGTTCTTGTAGCCCTTTGCACACCCTAGACATTAATTTCCCATCTGATGTGTAGTTGTTTTCTTCCACTTCGTAGGTGGCCTCTTCAATCTATTAATAGTCATCTTTGCCATTAGATGCTTTTTGTTAATTTTGTGGATGCCAATTTGTCAATCAATACATCCTTGGCTTCTTTTATGCATATTTATCTCTCGTGTAAGGTTTTCCAAAATGCTGCACAGTTGACATCACACTTCATTTCACAACTGGGAAAAAAACCAAAGGGTATGTGGCCCCTGACCTGTTCCTTCCCTCCTTGTCCTAGCTTCCAAGTCGGTCTGAGTGCTCTGTCCTTTACTGACAAACAGAGCATGGACCTACAAGACGGGTCGTAGCTCATCTTCACACTGAAAGCACTCCCTCTAGAGATTTCTATGTGACTCAACAAGGTAGGAGTTAAAGTCTTTGAACTGGCCTGGAGACCTCTAAAGAATGCATGTCTCTCTTCTTGCCTCCTCCCATCCTGGACTATATTAAAGCATTAAACACCTTTCCACCTCAGTACTGTTACATATCTTCCCATGGAATCTTCTTGCCATGTGCCCTCACTGTCGTCAAGCACATGTTCCCTGACCTCCTCAGCCTTCTTTGGTGTTCCTTCTCCAGGAGCGCCTGTGTCCTTAACACTCAGCACACACCACTGCCTCACTTCCGTTTCTTCTCAGCTTTATGCGTTGGCCATGTCTGGTGTATCTGAGCCCTGCCTAAGACAGGAGAAGCATTGCATCTTGTACGTCTGCTGCTACTCAAAGAGAGAAACAGAGTCAGTAAAAGAGAAGCTGCTCCAAGTGAATTCAAGACACCTCCTACTTTCTATGGCACATGTAGGTGTTCAGTCAAAGGAAATCAAGGCCATCATTCAGAAAGGAGCCGTGCCAGAGATTCAGAGCTTGGCACCAGTCTCATGCTTGTTACCAGTCTGGTGTAAGCCGTGAGTGAGTCTTTCACGTCAAGGGACTAAGTTTTGTCAGAAGACAGACTTTATTGCACTCTCTTCTAGCTCAGTGGAGATTGGTCAGGAAGTGGGGAGGCCCCTGAAAAAGACCAGGCTGTACCTTTGAAGCCCAGCCTCACCTCAGATGCTTCCAGCCACTGAGCTTACAGATTTAGTGTTAATTGCCTTTTTCAGTCTGCTTATGCCCTTTGCCAAACATGTCCCCAGGATGCTGCCTGCAAAACAAAAACATGGTTATTCAGCGTATTTGAGGAAGGCAAACAGAGATCCACTTCAGCTCACCACTCACGTAAACATCCTTCCTGCTGGACTTTGAGTCCAGCTAGAAACAGACCAGGTGACCCTGTACTTATTATCTGCTGTTTGCAGGAGGGGAAGCTGCTGGCCTGGCTGCTCAGCCCTTTATGTTGGCCGAGGGCCAGGAAGTTAAAGCGCCAGGGCAAAGGCGCATTGCACACGTACCTAGAAAAGCAAATATCAGAAGACCCATGGCTTGACCCTAAGGGTCATCAAAGGCAGGGAGCTCGGCAATGGGCCTCACGGTTTGGTTTTCTTCCAAAGAGCCACGCATTAAGCTGGACCACTAACTCAAATGACAGGTTTCAGATTTATCTCATCGGCAGATGAAAAATGAATTGAGGAACCCCGACCAACACATATTTAATTTCATTTGTTTTTAATTACCCAAGGAGTGTGTGAATAAACTTGCACTACAAACATTCAGAAAATACAAATTAAAAAAAATTCTTAAGGTCTAAGGAAAGTAGCTCAGTTGGCAGTGCCGTTGACTAGCATGAAGCAGCATGGCAGGATACACCTATATTTCTAGCACTCCAGAGGTAGAGGCAGGAGAAGCAGAAGTTCAAGGTCATCCTTGGCAACATAGAAAAGAGTTCATGATCTGCCTGGACTACATGAGATCCTGCCTCAAAACAAACAAGCAAATGAAAAGTCAAGACTAAAAAGTAAAAAAGCCTTCTCAACCATTTTTTCCCTCCGTAGAACTTACTGTACAGATCAATGTGAAGTGAATCCAACCATGTCAACACCAGGTACATTCCTCATCACTAGCAAAATAGTTCACAGTCAAAGGAACAGCTGAGTCACAGTCAGACAGGGTCAAGTCAAGGCAGAAAAGGCATGGAAAAGTGCATGGCAGTAGCGGTGCAGATGGGGCTCCTCGTATCTCCGTGGTTCAGGAAACAGACAGCATGAGCCAGAGCCATGGCCAGCCAGAACTGCCTCATGGCAAGCTATGCTTTCATGTTCAAAAAGGTTCTGCAACCTTTTGCAATAGCACCCCTAGATGGGTACCAATTGTTCAGACACCTGCATCTGGGGAAGGTGGCATAAGTCTCAAACAGAACCCAGACAGACATTGATAATTTTTGAAATTAGATGGAGAAAAAAGCTGTGACAAAAGCAATTGAACATCACCATCTATGGAGCAAAGTGAAATGTCACACCTTTGCTCAACTCAAACCATGTTAAAAGGCTTCCTTGGGCCTTAGAGAGAGGCTGGTATGCACCCCTGTCCCAAGGATATTTAGCAACTTTTGCTGTGTGACTTGTACATTTAGTCTCTTGTGTAATTCTGTTCCTGCTCCCAAGGTTAGACGTGCATTTGGTCTCCTGGTCTTTTTATAGTGTTTGAATTGTTAAGTATGTGATTTGTCTAGAGTTGTGTTTACAGACATGAGGGAGTGATGGATCTTTTTGCCTCTCTGGATGGGTAACAGATTCCTCCCAACACCATCCACGGGGTAGTCTGACATGGCACTCTGGTTTGAAAGATAGTCCTCACTGTATGTTAACTCTCAGATGGCCACCTGTGACTTTCTGGGGTGTATTCTACAGAATTTACCTATTCCTTTGTGTATATATGTATCAGTATTCAACTGTGTCTCCCTTTCTAGATGTCAAGAATATTACAAAAGTGATGTCCATTACTGTACATTTTTCAGGCCTGGACTGATGAGGACACCAGGCGTCTGCCTCAATCTCCACCTACTAACACAGGCTGAACCAGTGTCCTCACCATAAGCACCTCTGTTCTGAATTCTGAATTCCAAATTCAGACTTCAGCATCTCTGGAGAGGTCCTACTCTCAGCTTCCTAGAGACTGTTGGCTAACAAGGATGCTATCTACCTTCCACTCCTGCCTCAGCATCATGAGAGAACACATCTGCAAAGTCAGCCCCATGCATCTACTCCTCCACCATCACCCACCCTCAGTGTTGGGAGCTGCCGGCTCTGGGGACTCTCCCTGATATACTGAAGGTCCTCTGGAGGGCCCAGTGACTGGATGTTCCTATTTCCCTCACTCCTTTTCAAAGCATCCTTTCCCTTGGAATCAGGGATGGGGAGATGGGGTGCTGTCCTCCTCCTGAATAGAGGGTCACAATAGGATGTTCCTGCCTTCTAGGCCCACTGTTCAGCACACAGTGCTTCATGAGCCTGGACATAGCATCGTCCAAATGAATTGGGATCTCAGATACTCAGTCTCTGTTCTCAGAGTCAAGGTCTCTGTTCAATACCCAAGAACTTACAGGAGGTGCAAACATTTGTTCATTTATCTCTGCAAGCTGGAGAAGACACTAGAATTTGTGATACTATATTCTCAGCTCAGATACCATTTACCTCTCATTCCTCAGTAACTTAGACCATGTCCCAAAACACACCACATCTCTTCTGAAGTTTCACTGGCCCTTCTCACTCTCTCCATATTGTTGGTTTTCTTTTCAATCAGCTCCAGCTTTTTGTTGTTGTTTTTTGGGGGAGTGTTGTTGTTGTTGTTGTTTCCTATAAGGAAAGATCCTTATTTTCAGAAAATATTTACTGCTTGTTTGCTCGAGATATTTTGGAGACAGGGTTATGTTTTATAGCCCAAGCTGGACTCTTGTCTCAGGCTCCTAGGTGCTGTGTTTACAGGAATGTCCCCATGCCTGCCAAAATGCATACTTAAATGATAGTGTTGGACTCTGATTTAGATCCATCTTCTCTTGGTTGTCTCATGGAAACTGAAATGAAAACCCCCGGAGAGTGGTCCCTGAATAGCGTTCACAACTTTATTTTAATATAGTCTTCGAAATCCATGAGGGCCATGGGCTTCTTCGTAATGCATCGGTGGGCAATATGCCTGGAGGTCAGTCTGATTTCCTCCTATAAAGCAGGCCAACAGCATTAAATGACAGCCACATCACAGGAAGAAGACAACGGAAGTGTGTGCCCCTTAGTGAAGTGTGGGAAAAAATTAACTGTAAGAAGATAATGGACATAGAAGGTCTATTTTCTGATCAGAATTTTATCTAAGGTCAGATAAGTAGCCCTGTGTTAGGATCTGTAAAGAGTGATTTTAGTCAGCTGATTAGCTCCAGTTTGTCCAACCTGTGCTTAAACAACTTTTGATTCCTTGGAGCAAAGAGAAATGGCTTTTGTCAAAAGGAGCATTGCTAATGTAACAATCTCCATGTTGCTCTGTGTGTGTGTGCGCGCGCGTGTGTGCGCATATGCGCGTGCGCGCATATGCGCATGCACGCGTGCATGCTTGTACACTCATGGATGCATTTGTGCACACGTCCGTGTGTTTCATCCATCAATTTGATTTGTTTCTACCCTTCTATCCTGTGACTTTGTGAAAATGTAGCTGTGAACATGAGATTACCAATTGCTGCTGAGCACCCTGGGTTCAGTGGGGGTTTAAAAACAAGAAGTAACATCTCTGAGTCATACGGTGACCTTGACTGTGTATTTACCTATTGAGAAAATGCCTAATCTAGAAATCTCTAATAAGGATCCATAGAGTGAAAGTATGAGACTACAAGATTGCAGATCAATGTTTATTTCATACCTGGGGCCGGGGTGGGTATGAGTGTACTCTGCATTGGGAGTATCACATAGATCCCAGCAAAGGAGAAATGGCTGGTCCTTTCCTTTTTTCCAAACACATGCAACGCCAAACTTGACCTCCCCACGACAGAAGCCATGTGTAGACTTTCCCTGTTACTTCAAGTTCAGATAAGAGCAGACACCAATACTTCCTTTTCCTCCTCCTAAGGGCTGGCTGTCAAGCATGTCCATATGGTCCCTGGGCTTCCGAAGGAAGCCTTCTAACACTGCAAACTGTTAAAAAAGAAAAAAAGAAGGAAGGAAGAAAAAAAGAAATGGCACAGGGCCAAGGTTTGTGAGCTGACCTATGACCTCATGGAGAGAGCCAAGCATCATCTGCACATTGCACCTATGGCCTGCGGGTCAGATAGGCCTCTTATCAGACACTGATACGAGATGGGTAATATATCGGGGAATCTCAGAGCACGCACTGATGCCTTTACTGTAAGGACCCTGACTCCGCTGAGTCAGGAAGCAAGGGAACAAACGTCCTTTCTGTAAGTGCATTGCAGGGAGAGCCCCCATCAGGCTCCTTAGAGGAATCACAGAGTAATGGGAGAAGAGCATCAGTCACATAACAAAGTTTCATCCGCATTCTTAAGGAGCTGGGAAGCGGGTGAAGGAAAGCCCACAATGTCAGCAGTTGGCCCTTCGTGGGGTCGGTATGAAGCAGCAACCATGTAGAATGAATGGCCAGAAACCACTGATACATTCCTGCTTCTCATTTTAAACTCATTCCCTGGATAGTTGTCTCCATATATAACTGTTCCACATAGTTTTCTTTTGGAAGGGGGTGGTTGGTGGGGCTTGAACTCAGGACTTTCCACATGCCAGCAAGTGTGCTATATCTCATCTATACCCTCAGAATGCTCTCCTACTTTTTATTTTAAAACAGAGCATCACTAAGTCTCCCGGAATTGTTTTGCTGTCACTCTGCAACCCAGGCAGGCCTTGAATTTATGATCCTCTTGACGCAGTCTCCTGAGTGACTGGAATAACAGGCCTGTGTCACCATCTGGCATCCACAGACGTCTTAGAGAAAATAAATTCTTCCTTTAAAATAGAGTGGTGATCTCTTGCTAAGAAAGACTAAAGAGAGGAGACAAGGTTTCTCAATGGGTACAGGTACTTACAGGTGGACCCAAGAATCAGAGTTCAATCCCAGCATCCCAGAAGGTGGCAGGGAAGAATTGACTTCCAAAAGTTGTCTCTGACCTCTATGAATGTGTCATTTCACAGGCTTCCTATACATAAAAATAAGAAAGAAGGAAGGAAGGAGAGAGAGAGAAAGTTGAGTCATTCTCATCAAGTGAACTATTATAATTTAATAGAAAAAAATCTTCGCCTGAGTTCCTCAAATACATTTTTGTATATTAGGAAGGAAATTTTGATACACAGAAACATGAGACATCATTCCACTTCTTTGTTAACTAAAAAGAGGCTCTTACTCTTTTCACAAACAAAAATCAAGACTGTATATCAGTAGTTTCTTGCTTTCAGAATATACACCGGAGAGACATAGCGAGGATTAAAGTTTAATGCATTAGTCATTTAAATAAAACTGCCTTCCTCTGACTACCAGGTACTGAGCAGGAGCAGGGAGAGAAACTGATTGCAACATCAGCCCAACATCTGCCCATCCCATTTCATGGAACCTGGACCAGTGTCTACAGAGAATGATACAACTAAAACCAGCATTTGTAAACCAAATCTCCATTGTTCTCGATGGCTGGAAAACTTCTTAAAGCACAATTTAACAGTATGTGAATTGAAATCCTTTCCAAATGAGTCATTCTTTTGTTGGGTCCAGGAAATATAAAAGAAAATTATTAACCTATACCATGCATAATACTCAACTGCACCATACAGTGAGCTTACTGGTAACTAGTATAGTTACATTGATGAGGGTTAGGAAGGGATATTTGACACATTTAAGAAAGTTCTAAGAACTGAACAACGTTACTCAGAGATCTTTAGGATCCCCATAGGAGAGTAAATTACAGAATCTGACTGCCATTCCTGAGCTGTTTGCTGGGAGATACATCTCCATCTCTGTTCCCAAGGTACTATCCAGACATTTTTCTTCTTGTCTCTCTGTGTATGGGAGGAGATTACTTTTCTCTTCTCCACATCTTGAACTATAGAGATGAGCGTGGGTGATGGATTAAGAGCTCTGCCGCCTGCCCTCTCTCCTCCTTCCTACTTTAACCAACAGAACAAGCCTCCCAGCTTTAAACGCATAACTCTGATATTTCCAATGTGATTACCGCCTTTGGGACGGGGTGACTAGAAAAGAGTGTGGGGAATAGCCTCCAGTGCCGAGCACTTGTTTGCCCATCTAGATATGAACCATACGCTCTGCACCAGACAGCAAGCCTACATCCAAGTCAAATGAAGATAACGATGCCATGAAATAGTCATAGAGAAGGGCCCTGCCACAGTATTCTCATGAGCTACGGGCACACTGGGAAGTAGCACTGAAGCCCACCCTCTCAGAACCAAATTGTTCTCTACTTCTCAGGGGTGTTTTTTTCCTAGTTATATCAATTATAACACTATTGCTTTGTATTAGACGCTTTTCTATCTTCGTAATAAGACACGTGACCAAAAGCAACTGAGGGTAAAAGGAGTTTGTTTTGACTTGCTGCTCCAGAGGATAAGAGTCCATCATAGCAGGGAGGCAGAGCAGCAAATGACAGGTACCAGGGACACAGAGATCATATTCCCAGCTGACATCACAGAGAAGAAATTGTAAGTTGTTATAGGTTATGAGCTCCCTAAGCCTGCCCCCCACGACTTCTTCCAGCAAGACTGTACAACCTAAGTTCCCCCCCCCCAAATGCTGTCACAAACTGGAGACCAACTGTGGGAGCCCATGTGTCAACTCTTCAAATACCCTAGCTGAACCGATGATAAGACATTTCTCATTTAAAGGGAGAAATTGTCAGAAAATACTGGACCAAAGCCCAGCAGGTAAACACGGAACCCTATAGCTCCCATGTCTCGTAGTTTTCCTTCCAAAGGGCTCGTGGAGTCCTGCTCCTCAGTTTTGATGCCTGCACCACACGTCTTTCTCTTGGTCTGGTTTCACTCCTTGCATGCAGATCTCCCTAGTATGCATCCCATGCCATTTCCAGTGTCTCGTGGCTTCCACTGTAACACGGGCTTCACTTTCACACCTTCCTGCAATAACTTCCTACAGTCTCTTGCTCTCTTAGAGGCTTCACACAGAGGCTCCCCTCCCAACCGCTGCCTGGTGCCAGTCACTCCCTGGACCTGCAGGGGAAGAATTCATGACTCCTTCACTCTTTCTTCATCTCTAGAGCCAGCACCCCATGGATAACACGGCCAAGTTAGCCTGCTTCATCAGGACGGAGACTAGCCTCTTCAAATCCTATTTAGCCACGGCACTTTTATTCAGTTGCTTTTTAGGAACAGAAAATACTCTAGGCTCTCTTCAGGAATTAGAGGCTTATCTGGGCAGGGTCTTTCCATGATAGCATCTCTCATTTGACACAGTACAGACCAGGCCCTCTGTCAGTAACTGGGCCTATATCCCCAGATCGGGCTGCAACCTGAAGATTCATGGTTTTCCTTTTCTCCACAAATCATACATTTTGTATTTCTTTCTGCTGCGTTTGTCTTTTTTCATTGTAGACCTGCACAAGCATAATCATTCTAGAAAATCTAGAAACTCAACATTGTGCATTCTTTTGGCTTTTGATTTTATTTACTCTTTGGCTTGCTGCTTGTATCTCAAATAAATATACAGAGATTTATTCTTACTTATAAATGCCCAGCCTTAGTTTGGCCTGTTTCTAGCCAACTTTTCTAACTTAAATTATCCCATTTCTCTTTAAGTATGTTTTGCCTCTTGACTTCTTACCTTTCTTTTATTCTATATATCTTTCTTTCCTTCTTATTCCATGGCTGATTCTGTGGCTGGGTGGCTGGGCCCTGGTGTCCTGCTCCCCTCCTTTTCTTGCTACTTGCTCTTTTCTCAAGATTAGATTTCTCCCCCTCTTTCTTCTCTCCCCTGCCTAGCTATTGGCCATTCAGATCTTTATTAGACGGGTCATGTGTCTCCATGTCTGGCTCCAAGAGCTCAGAGCTCAACCATTGTTTCCTTGATGCTAGAGATTGATTTCGGAGTCTTGAACTGTTGATGGGGGTTCTGTCCCACCTAGTACCACAACAGTTCAGTCCCAAAGAAATACATAGAGTCCTACATTAATTATAAACTGGTTGGCCTATTAGCTCAGGCTTCTTAACCCATAATTCTTGTCTGTGTTAGTCTCATGTCTTGGTACATTTTATCTGCGACACATTCTCATCTTGCTTCTTCTGTGTCTGGGTTATGGCTGCAGAATGTGCCTTTCCTCTTCACAGAATTCTCCTCTTCTTGTTGCCCCGCCTCTACTTCCTGCCTGGTGGCTCCACCTATACTTCCTGCCTGGCTACTGGCCAATCAGTGTTTCATTAAAATACAAGAGACAAATCTTTACAGGATACAAGACCACTGTCCCACAGCGTTGAATATGCTAGGCATACTCTCTACCATGGAGAAACATTCGTATCTTTGTATTGTTTTTTTTTTTTCAGACAGGATCACACAATGTATCCAGAAACTGGCTTGACATTTGGTCTTCCTGCTTCAGAGTACTATGATGTCAGGCAGGAGTCTCATGTCCAGCTGAAAACTTCATCTACTAAGTGTTCCAAGTAAGATATTTTGTTCTGAGATTTACACATGTGTGTGCACATGCATATGTATGTGCACACACATGCATACACACACAGTGTGCTTCGATCATATTCACACCTCTGTCTTTTTTTTTTCAATTTCTCATTTCTTTCAGTTCCTGCTGTACCTTTTCATAAAGAAAACCTTACGTCACCCCCAAGATCACAAAGATATTTTTCTAGTTTGTAAAAGAAAAATGAATTTTTATTCTTCTATTTTTGGTCTTTATTTTCCGTGGGGTCAACTACCTTAGAGACACATACACAGTCCCTGGTTTTATTCATTAGATGACCATGAACTTTGGAGAAATTTTTTAATTAGCTCAAGCCACTCCCTTTACTTCCATCCTCTTACAGTGTAAGGAGCAACTGCGTCTGTATGTTTAGACAACTCTTTCTCTCTGTAATGTGCCCAGGCTTGGATTTCCTGCTTGTATTTATTTCATGCTGATAGACTCTGTGTGCTCTGTAAGACTGCTGTGATCCTTTTTGCAATGAAACTGAGCATAAATATGTAAAAGTCCCATCTCAGGAGCCGCCTCTCTCCAAGCCAGAGTTTTCAGGCCTTGGGCCTGTGGGGACTCCACTTAATAAATTACAGACTCTGTGTATCCTGAAGGTAATGGAGCTTCCAAAGGTGCAGAACAAACTGCCAGAGAGTTGTTTAAGTACTAGAAAAATCTGGCCCAATCCATTATTCCAGATCTATATATTTATGCTCATGGCTTACAAAGCACCCCAGGGCCCACTGGGGTAAGGAAAGCTGCATGAATCTAAGGAAATATTATTAAGTGGATTTATTTTGGGTTGCAAAAGAGTGTGCAGCTCTCTGGAGAACCACTGGAGGGGAGTGAAAGACTTTCTGCAGTCTCTAACACTTGTCTTCCTAAGAGCTGCTCACTGAACCCCTGGTGCCCACCCTAATAGTGCCAGTTAATCCTGTTGCTATAGTTACAACAATTAATTATGTGCTTAACTAGCCTTACTAGTACATTGCAGCGATTCAATTAAAAACTGATTTTTTTTTCTCCATCCTTAAGCTTTGGAAACTGTCCATAACATGGGTTCAAAGAGTCACAGAAGCGGTTCAGTTTCCAGGTGGTGGCATCTTTGGCCAGAACTTGATGGAACAGGGCACAGTTGTCCTGACACAGGCTTTTGGTACCAGAACCAAACCATTTGGGAGACTGACTTCAACAACGGAGTGAATCATAAAATTCATACCCCATGGGCATCATCTACTTAGAAGAGGTTTTTTACCCCCTTCTTAATTTTAGTAATTCAATGAAATTTGAATGGGAATATAAATAATTGCAAATTAGTGGCTGTGGCAACCCTTGGTCTAATGCTTGAGAAACCTCAGAATCCTCAGCAGCTGTGCCGTATGGTGAGAAGTGCCCTAGAGACCAGGCAGATCTAGGGGCAGAGAAGCTCATCAGCACTCCAAAGCGACTGAGACTGTAGGCTTCAGGGGTCTACAGCTGGTAAGACAGCCCTGTTCCTGACCACCAAGGTCAGTGAACACCTGGGAGCTTGACTGAGGGAAGCAATGTTTTGAAAAAGACTTCTTTTCATTTTTATTTTTTAAATTGTCGTAATCATCCCACGCACAGAACTAACACCCTCTCTCCGCTCTGTCTACATATCTTAAAATAATTTCCCATTGCTTTGGCCCCATGATAATGACATGGCATTGATGAACTTGGACAGACTGGGAAGTGGTCTATGTGATCGTTTCTGTCATTTGAGTTTCCAGGTAACAGACATGGAGTTGGTCAAAGCACCAGCATTGGAGCTGGATGACAAAGCACTGTCCCTCCTGACTTCCTGCTCAGTCTGAGTTCTTTATTCTCCCAACTCCTCCAAACATCATTTCCCTCTGACCCCCTTCACTTGACGACCTCACAGCCTCAGTCAAACTCCAGTCTCCACAACCTAACACTGACCCTCTTCATCAGCCTGGGCCTCTTTCCCTCTCTGGTGTTCCTCCGCACTCCTGTGTGTTCAGAGATGTCCCTTCGCTCTGTCTGGCCTTCTACCTGTCTCAGTGCTGACACAGAGCTCACCTCTTCTGCCGTGAAACTCTGAAACCTAACTTTTGTTTGATGCTCAGCTTCACTTCCTAGACTCCCGGCAACCCCTAGACTCCCGGCAACCACCCCCTCACCAAGTTCTTACTTTGGCCCGCTGTCGTACAACTTTATGGCCTTCTCTGTCCTAAGTAGACAGCCCGTGAGGTCAATGTTGAATGTAAATTAAATTTAAAAAACTCATTATTTGCCAAAAGCCAGTCTGTGTATTTGGCAAGAATCTGAGTGTCCATGGACTTTCTCTTCAGCTTGCCTCATGGTTTTGGTCTAAGAATGCTACCCTCTTCCTCTAATATTCAAAAAGACTTAAGGATCCTGTGCTATCCCCTAGCAGAAGAATTTGTCCATACTGGACTCTGGCCTCCAGACCAAATTTTCTGTTGCTTCAGTTAGACAAGTAATCCACCCATGGCCCTTATAGACATGTGCTATCTTGAGTAGAAAGTTAATGCATGATAGTTCCTGAATATATTTAATTTCTAAATTATAATTTGCTACTTTACAATGAGATTATTATTTTTTCCTGCAGGCATTCTTCTAATTGAAAGAAATATTTCTGAAATGAAAGTGTGTGTAGGTGTGTGTGTGTGTGTGTGTGTGTGTGTGTGTGTAAGGGAAGGGTGTTTACATATGAGCTCACAGAAGGAAGACTGTTTTATGCTGTATTGAGATTTTTCTCAGTAATTTAAGAGATATTTATTAAGTGTCTTATATCTGCAAGGCACTCTGTAGGTGTAAATATTATCTAGCTCCTAAATAAATATTCATTAAGTGAGTTCATTTTAACACTCATTAAACCGAATAGATGAATTATTTACCCACCTGGGGACCACGATGAGCTCAGAGAAGAAAGGGATACTTTTTGTTACCTGTGTCCCCTGAATGTCTAATGAATGTTTACTGGGAGCTGGCTCCAAATGGGACTAAGAACTGCAAGACAAGAAACACTTTAGGCAATGAAGTGCCATGGGAACAGATCAACATCTCATGATGAGGGCGAGGGGTGTCTGGAGGAAGATGCCTGTGAGTTGTGTTAGTCCTGCTGGGTCCTAAGCCTATGATGATCATGTGCCTCAAGGGGGCAGAACCCAAGGCCTCTGGAACTGGGGGATACTTCCCTCAGGATCCTCCTAGGAAGTCTACTTATGCAGCCACACACTGGACTATGACCTCGGGATCCTCTGAGAGCCCCTTCAATAGCAAAGACATGCTTCCAGGAATCAGAGGAGTCTCCCTAACTGGTCCAATTTGATCCCTGTGGGAGGCAGGCAAGTACGGCCCATCATCAAGATCCCTGGGGAAGACAGAGGTGCCCCTGTCCTGGTAAATTCCCTCATGCTGACCAATCACAGTGCCGTTCTCTGCTTTTGCCCAGGGGTTCTGGAGCCCCTTGTTTAATTTTCATTAATCAGGATTGTATAAAAATGGGCTTAGTGTCACAAACCCAGCTAAAGGAAAATAAAAAGAGAAAAAACCTACATAGCAGGTTTGAGCTCAACTGCTTAAAGGTCACCGCAGATGGACTTCTCCGCCATCACCAGCCTCAGGCCCCACCTCCCGTGTCTTCGGTTACACATTAACTTTTAGGAAGGAGACAGTATCACAATAATTCTTCTAAGCATTTGAAACACCAGGTATTTTTCAAAAGACTGAAGGAGCCTCACAGTTTCTCCTCAATAGTCATAATACCACACACATAGCATGGCTTGTTGAAGCCCAGAAAAGAAAGACAAGGGCCTCTATAAAGCATGGACATCTTTAAAGCAAATTGATTTTCATTTATTCTCTTTCTTAACTTTAAAAGAAGTCTATTCTGTCACATAATTTGGGGATTTAAAAAATGGGGGTCCAATTTGTCTCTCTAGCTTTGAATTGAGACACAGCATTTTTGGCCATAAAAAGCAAGGCATACAATTGTTTTTTCCCTTAAGAATTAAGATAAACAAACCTGTCAATCACCTAGATAGAAAATAGCCTCTTATGAAACCTATTTGTTCCAGAGATTTAAAAACAGTAATAAGCTTCAACGTGTTAGTGGGCACAGGGGGCTCTTTGCCATTGCCCCTTCTCACTCTGCAAGAGTGCTTCTCTCTGTAATGGTCCCTTTGGCTCTAGCCAGTCTCATCTCTTACTGCTCTATAATAAGTTCTCCGTGTTCTACACCCTGTGGCTCCACCATCATATTCCTCCCCAGCCAGCTCCTGAAATGCCAAGCAGCAGCTCAGCAGAGGAATTCACCCAGGGGTCAGCTTAGGCTCATTGTTGGGATGGGCTCGGTGCTGACACTTCTGAATGGCCTGCCTTATTGCCCAAGGGCGCCTTTTGTCAAAAAACGCTAAGTCCGTATTAGGAGCCCACCCTGTACTTTATCCATTCTTTTTCCTGGGACACATGCTACAAGCCTTAGATACTGGAGCATCTTAGATACTGGAAAGGCCCCTTGTCTACCTTCTCTCTCTTCACACAACCACAGTATCCAGTCATGGCGGTCAAATGTCGAAGGTGCTCCCCACCTTGAAGTTCCGTCTTTGTCCTCTGTGAATTTTGTGTCGTGTTGTTGAGTCAGTCACGCTCTCCACTACCTCTTTTGCCATGTACTTCATGGATTGTTTCTTTGGAGGCTCCCAGTTCCTTCACATAACCCCAACCCCACCTCTTCCTCCTCTACAGCTGCAACTATGACTTCAGCCAACCAACGAGAAGGAACTTCATTTTCTTACCCATGGGGGAGAACTCCCTATGTGGGTTTACAAACGACTGACCTGTTCTGAAGATCTGGGTCAGAGGCTGACGTGAAGGAGAGGTGTCTCTATGAACTAACTGGTGTTCCCTTGCACCCACCCACATCTTCCTGAATTGTGACTAATTAGTAGTATTAATCATCAATACTGAGCTGTACCAGTTGCTTCCCTGTGGTTGTGATAAAACATCATGAGCTAGACAGCTCACAGAAGAAAGGATTTCCTTAGTCTTACAGTTCCAGAGAGTTCGAGTCTGTAACGGTGGGGACAGTGTGGTAACAGGAAGCAGGCCCCAGACATGGCTGCAACAGGAAGTAGGCCCCA